AGAGCCCTAGAAGTTGCTGGAATAGAATCTAATTTGCATCATTCTGAATCCCGCTTACTGGTATTAAGCAAGTAAACACAATTGAGAAAAGTATCATAAACTCGTATAATTTGTATCATCAATATAGGAAGAGGTTATGTGGGATGATATAGTAAAATGCCATGGTAGATGATATAGTGCACAACCTATGAGAGTTATGTGGGATGCACAGAAGCTAACACCAACAGGAATTACATGAACGGAACAACAATTGTTATTAACAGTAAGCATTTTACCAGAGAAATGAAGTCGTGATGTGACTGTAATCATGGAAGGACTAAGCAAGAAACCTAATAAACGAAGCATTATGTAAAAGTTAGAATATGCATCCAGAAATTATGGCAGTAAGTTAAATATTTGTAAATTGGGAGATTGAGTGGAATCTAAGGCTGCACAAATTTCTTATAGCCCATATTAAAATATAGTAAGGAACCTAATACAGTAAGAATTATGTAAAGATAAACTGTGCAATATAAAATTATGACAGTAAATTAAATCCATATTGCACCTAGATAATTTACCTTGGCATGTTGTGACGGTATTGGATGATCACTGAATAAGTACACCTCTGAAAATGAAGGAAAACCATAAGCACTACGCCAAATTTAATTTGTTCAAGAACGTATAAAACTGAATTACGTGATCCTCGTTAGAGGACATGAAGGTAGGCACGCCATATGCAAGCAATGATCTTTCCAATAACGAATGAAAAAAACTAATTTGACTGTGATATATGTGTATCTTTTAACCTTAAAAGTAACCAAAATTATGGAATAGATCAAGGAAGGAGAACCGAAAAGCCCCACCTAGCACTGATCTTTTTTTTTTTGACGACTGTGGTAGCAGCTTGTACACACGCATCATCTCCCTTTTGTTTTCTCCATCAGCAAATGAGCACATAGTAATTTAATGAAAGACAGAGGAAACTTGTGAAAAAGAGTGTACAACATGAGGGGAACTGTTGACCATAACTCTATCTAAGATAAGCAATACCTGGATCTGTTCGGGTTGGAGGCATCGTGGCCTCCGGTGGCAGGGTCGCCGGCTCCTGGGCTGCGTCACTAGGTCGCATGCGCTAACTGGTTGCTGGGTCGCCTGCGCCTGGGCTAGGACGCTAGAGGTTGTCGTGGCCGTCATCGAGTGCGCCGACAGCCGGGGTGCGTCGTTATGGTTTGCCCACTTCAGGCCTCCCGTACTGGCGCGGCACAGCATCGGGCCGCCGGAACCGGGAGGAGGGAGCTGTGGAGCGAACCTGCTGGGAGAGGCTAAGCGCGTTAGCAAGTCGAGGTGGGTGGAGTTGCGGCTTCCAGTCAGTCAGAGCGACCAGCCGCCAGTCAGAGCGACCAGCCTTGCTGTCAGCAACCCTAGGGGAGGGGAGCGCGGCGGCTGGCTGCTGCTGGGCAGTCTGACCACGGCGTCAAGACAACCGGAGGTCGCAGGAGGGGCTGCGCTCCGGCGGGGGGACGCCGCAGCCTACGGAGGTCGCAGGGATGGTGGAGGGAGCGTGATTGGAGGGGGATGGAGCGTGATTTGAGGGGAGGGGAGGGAGCGGGCGGGGGGAGGGGGACGCGGTATCGCACGGACGGGAAGAGGAGCGACCAAAAAAAAGTCACACGAAAAAATAATCTTATTTTTATTCTTTTTAGTTGTAGAAGAATACTCCGCGCAAAGTTCCATACCACTTTCCAACGCCACATACCACCTAGCTTTGCCGGGCAGTTTTCCCGCGTATGGTAGGGCAAGTAGCGCGGAAAAGGAACCATGAAATCTTGGATGTTTCGTTTCGTACAATCGCACCGTCATGCGTGCGTGCGCGCGCGCTTCGCTGGCCATGTTTTGCCCACCGGCGCGCGCGCCTCAAGGCGCCCACAACGGTTTCTGCCTCCGGCCATGTCGCTTCCCCGAAAGGGAGAGACTCACGACGTCCAGAGCCGGACGAGAAAAACGACCCCAGTGTCGGTACTAGCGTACATGGTACTACTACTCCAGTACAGCAGCAGTACTCCACCAGTGAAACGCGAGGTACCAGCGGGAGCTGCGGCCTAGGGGCGGTGCCGTGGTGGGCAGTAGAACGAGTACACGGCCTTGATACTTGCAAGGGCGGGCGAGTCACACACTCACACTCACACAGGTCACAAGCACAAGGATCCGTACGCCCTGACGAGGTCCATGCAGCCCAGGCATGCTACTGCGACCACGAGCCCTGCGCTATCTCTGCTTTACGTGACACTCGAGCGTCCTTTCAGGCTTTTTTCCCCCTGCGCGACTTCCTTTGGGACGCAACGCAGCACGCACGGGGCCATCCGGCCAGGCCGCACGCTCTGCTCCTGCTCCTTCCTCCCAGGTCCCAACTAGACCCACGCACGGGCCACGGGTGCCAGCCATGTGACGGCCGGGGCTCGTGCTTGGCGCGGCGTGGCCCGAAGATGAGATATGCAAAGATGTGGGTCAGTGGGTGTCCGCCCGCCTGTCCGGTGTCCGGTCCGCGACCCTTTTGCCCGCTGTGGCGCTGTCGTCGCCATCGCCTGGAAAGGTTCCAAAGTGGCTACGCAAAGGGTCAAAAGGGCACTGATTCCTCGCTCTATGCTGTGCAACTCCTACAGTCCTACTACTTGCATAAACTGGCAAGAAAAAACCGCAGAGGGAGACGGGGGCAAGAGATTGCCGTGGCGTCGTTCTCGTATCGTAGGCACCCCAAGAGCCAAGTGGAAGTGGGACCGGACGGACGGAGCACGTGGCGAAGCTGGAAATGACCCGGCAAGCTCAGGTGTGGCAAGTGCAGTATGACTTGCTGTGCTGTCGTTTCAGGCTTTCAGCTTTCAGCAAGCTCAGGTGTAGCAGGCAGGAATGGACTTGGGCGCGGCAGATGTATGAAAAGGACAGTGCCGTGCAGGCAGGGCAGCTCGCGATCCTGCATTTCCCGCCCTTACGCTTTGGAGACACGGGCACACGGTAAATTTCAAAGACGGGGAACTTTTTTACTGGAATACAGTATTATTTTCCAACGGAGATGGATTCTTCCTGTTAGATTCGTATACATGTCCCTGACAGACAGGTCCTAGCGTTTCCTGGAGCACACTGGTACAGAAGTTGCACTGCAGAGTACAGACGATGGCTAAACTAAACGATCACCAGCCTTTTCGATTCTCGCTCTTCGATGGAGAAGAGAGCGCATGTGCACGGGGGGAACAAGTTGCTGAATCCGGGGGCCGAAATGAACAGAAGGCTAAGCGTGGGCCGCACAAAGCCCATGCTATGGAAGCTAAAGTGCGGACCGCAGATGATTGGTGCCTCATTTGCGGCCAGTTTGTTGTGGGCGGGGCCCGAAAACCAGATTACGAGTTCATTTAGGGCCTGTTCGGTTGCGCTGGAACGAGCCCAGGAATCGTTCCGTCTGATAAAGCTTATACAATACTCCGTATTAGCTAAGCAATCCAGCTGGAAATCTTCCTGGTCACCGTTCCGTGACAACCGAACGCAACCTTAGGGGTGCTTGGGTCTGCAGACTAAAGTTGAGTCGCTGTCGCATCGGACGTTTGGTGCTAATTAGAAGTACTAAATATAAGCTAATTATAAAACTAATTGCATAGATGGAGACTAATTTGTGCGATGAATCTATTAAGTCTAATTAATCTATCGTTAACACATGTTCATACTTGATAGGGCTCGGTTCCTACCTGGTTACAAATGCTTTTCATGGCAGTTCATACTATTTTAGTTTAAAAAGATCCGGTAAAAATACTTGATAGGGCTTGGGTTTTATATTACGAAAAGTATCTCTAAGCTTCTAAAAATTATGGATAAATTTTAAACATACATTGAGACAAAAAAAAAAAAAAAAATATTTAAAGTTTGTGAAAGTATCTCTAAATTCTAAAAATTTCACATTTAACTCTAGAAAAATGGAAAAATAAAAAGTAAAATCTTAAAACATTCTAATTGATGTCTTAAACACGTTTTGAAATTATTCTGCGCACAATATGCAACCAGCATAAATGCATTAAATTTATGTTGCATTCTTCTAGTTGCGTCTAATATTTTTATTGCGAAAAGTTTTCTAAACGCATTTGGACATCAACTAGAATGTCTTGGAAATTTTTTAGGTTTTTAATTATTTTCTATTTTCATAAAGCTAAATATATTTTTAAAGCCTTTAGAGATATTTTCATGAGCTCTAAACATTTTATTGGGCTTGTCACATCACAATTTTTCTCTTGTATTTTTATTGAAATATTTTAAAATCTTAAGAAACATTTTTCATAGTTTAGAAAGCCTAATCGAGTATTTGCCAACTTTTTTAAAACTAAAAATGATTAATGACCGGTATAAGAAGATAATTTAAATGATTTTAAAGGATAAGATGTCTAGAATGAAATTCGATAAAAATATCACCATGATAATTCAAAGAGGTAAAAGATACTTTTTTGTTTGTCTTGTAATTTTTAATTTTCTTCTTAGGCCGAAAGGAAGAGCTGCTTTATGGCCCAAAAGGAAGAGCTGCTTTACAGCCCAGTCTATAATACAGTCGGGCCCAATGACACCAACTCCTAGAATGTTTAGTTGCTACCTATACAGAAAACCCTATACAGTCTCCAACTACAGACAAGTGACAGAGCTACAGAGGTCGCTGAACGTCAAAAATGCTATTTTGCTAGTCACTCTTACAGACAATTACAGTTCACGAGTACCGAGACTCAGCAAGTCAACAGCAGCAGCAAACATATCACGAAACTTAACAACTAACGGCACAACAAAAGGCTCTACAAACAAAAATCCATACTTCTGGTTGGGCTCTCCACAGAAGATCTTCAGCTGCTTTCTCAGCCAATGCTGTGCTCAAGGGTCTCTACTCGTGTTATCGTGTAATTGTGTTAACGGTATCGGCTGCAGCAAGTGGATATATACAGGTGGGGCCAAGAGGCGCCGTCTCATCTCTACCTTTACATAGCTGCTAACTGTTATCAGACCTGGTAGACCATTCCTACCTCCAGAGTGGAGGCATGGGGTATGTTCGCAGCGTATGCAGGGCCACGGCTGTTTTTCCTCAAGAACTCGTAGAAGTTTATCACAATTCGCTTTATGAAACTTGACCCGCTCTTTGCCTTCATGTACGAGTGACCCAGGATGAAGGACATGCCTGTCTCCCTAGCGTCCATGAGCTCCTGCAGCTCGTGGCGTACCTCACTGTCCACCTGAGCACTCTTCGGTATCATGAACCTTGCTTTCTTTCGCTTGGGTGCTGCATTGTGTGGGTCTATCTCCTTATGAGGGGATATGGATGCATCAAGTTCTCCATCCTCTTCCAACATATTAATTCTAGTACTGATGGTGGACAGCTTCTCGGAGGGCTTATCTGTGTCCTCCACGAAGCCATTCTTGTCGTATTCCCCACTGCCGCGGATGAACTCTGCAATGTTGCTGACTAGCTCCTTCTCGAACTCTAGGTCATCCTTCTGCACGTCGCGATAACCATATCTGACAATGACCCTGTATAGCCTATACTCTTTTGGACCAATGCGACCCACCAGAAATCGTTCCTCAGGTTCCACATGCGGCACAGGAACTGATTTGACACAGAGAAATACCAGTACCTGATGAAAAACAATTGTGAGAATTCTACAAGTTACATCCATAAACTGACTCATGCACTGATGCTGCTTATTCAGATCTCTGGGCAGTGCATTAAGAAAAACTGTTGCTTGATATGTATATGAACTATGAAGTGATAAGTTACCTGGTGAAACGCAGGTAGATTGGTGACAAAGTGGGAGAAGATAGCTGGAATTCCAGACATTAGCTCTGTATGTATTATCCCAATGCCTCGAACGCGAACAATGCCCAGTGAAGGACCAAGGTTTAAGAGCCAGTTTACTGAAACCTTGTTTTGCACATCGAACTCGTACTTCTTTATTGTGCCATAGTGCCAGACACACATGACCACCATAAATATGAAGGAGAGAGTAATAGGAACCCAAGCACCTTCATGAAACTTGACAAGGGAAGCTGAGAAGTAGATTACTTCGATCGTGCCAAAGAAAAGCAGGAAACCAAGGGCAAGGAAGATACTCTTGTTCCAGCAAAGCACAATAACAAGTGACATTAAGCAAGTGGTAACAAGCATAACAGTTATTACTGCCAACCCTGTATCAAAAAAAATGGGCGAAACCACAACAATTCTATATGAGGTTCACTTCAATGTATGAAGAACTATATGAATCTGAGTTTTTTTTTTACCTTGTGCATTTGCCAAGTGCTTTGTGTCTCTGAAGCCAATAGTAACAGCCAGGCAGAGTATCATCAGCATCCAATTGATTTCTGGTATGTATATCTGACCATGCACTGTCGAGGATGTGTGCACAATCTTCACTCCAGGGAAACAACTTAATGAAGAACACTGCTTGATGATTGAAAAGGTTCCAGTAATAATTGCCTGACTCCCAACTACAGCTGCTAGTATAGCAATCACCAGAACAGGCCATCTGAGTGTTTCTACAAACAAAGTTGCATACATCAGTGCTTCGAAGCATGCAGGTCTTTTTTAATGGAATTCTGTAAAAACAAATTACTACTTTAATAATAACATTTTTAAAGAAAAAAAAAGACAAGGGAAGTTAAAGAAATTACCTGGTACTGACACATAAAAGCCAATATGATAACTGCTCTCAATGTTGTGATGTTGTGAAATAAAAGCTGCTTGTCCCATATAAGCCAATACAAGTGCAGGATAAACCACGGATATGAATGCAATCTGTCGGGATTTTTTAAAAATCGTTAAGAATTTGAAGACAGTTCAACATTTACGTTTTCCTTTTTCAAGTGTGGTGAGTAGCACAATCAAGATTCGGAGACCAAGAGAATGTCGATATCTCTAGGATACAGAGTATGAATATAAAGAATTACAGAAATGCTGACAAAACTTAAACACACATCGAGGACAGATACAAACACGCATCAAGTACAGATACTTGGTTGAGTTTTCAAAGAAATCAGTAAATTAATAGTGTGGTTTGCATGAAAATTTAAATATTCCAACCCTATAATTAAAAGATTTCAGTCAAGAGGCAGATGCTTTCAGGAAAGGAACTGACTCAGCACAAAATTCAAAAAACTATGTGGAATAAAAAAAAGTTTAAATGTTAAGGATAATTAGAAAAATATACTAAGGATTCTTAGTGTGTTACAATTTTTCTACATTTGTAGAAGTCTAAATTATGACAGAGATATCCAAATACCATGAAAATAGGAGTTCTAATGAGAGTCGTGTAAACAACTGGAGTATCTTGTTAATTTTATTGTACAAAGAATAAGAACCGAAGGTAAAGGCGTACCCAGTGCAGAGAGCTCCCGCTCTGTGCTGTGCGGGGTCTGGGGAAGAGTGTTAGTGGCAAGCCTTACCCTCGCCAGTGCAATGCGAGGAGACCGCGATTCGAACCCGGGACCTTCCGGTCACAGGCGGTAAGACTAGATAAGATTTTATTAACAAGAAATAGGTGAACATTGGGAATCAGTAAAATTCTGTAAATATAACACATAACAGTACTTGCTGTTGTAAGTTGTAACAAACTCATCTATACCTGGATTGATGATTGTGAAAAATGTCCAAGATCTGCATACATAGCTTCAGAGCCTAAAAGTTTTACCAATAATAGAAAAAAAAGAGTGTCAGACTTCTGTCACTAGAATTCAGGTATTGCCGCAGTCATACATTAAGCAACAGCAGCCTAGCTTATCTGTACCTGTCACACAAAGAAGGATTCCACCCAGTGACATCCAGCCACCAGTTTGAGTCTTCCTGAGGAATTGATACATGTAGTATGGCGAGAGGGCTCGATAAACATGGTGGTCCCAGTGGGTGATATTGTAGAGGCCTATTGCACTTATGCAGAGAAGCCAAATGCATACGATTGGTGCAAACAGAAACCCAACTTTGTGTGTGCCATAGTGTTGCAGTGCAAACAAGCATATAAGTATGGCACAAGCCACTGGAAGTTCTATATCTGCACATAAACAAGTTGCAGTAAACATCTCATAAGCATGGTACAATCGAACATAATACGGCCCCGTTCGCTTGGGAGGAATTTGTGAGAGGAAATCAGCCGTGAATAGTAACTTTCAGCCGTGACTTTTGTGATCTATATGCATTCTACCATGTACTATATAGTATAGCAATAAACGCAAGCAATCAAAGAAAAGATTTAACATACATTTGTGTTGTTCCTTTTCCAACGACAACTCAAGCCCAGATACCGCAGAAAACACTGCAAACGGAGCAACATCACTCGCATCAGAAACAAATATAATGCAATGAAGACCAACCATCCAAAACCAAGACTGGCAAGGGGTCCAACCTGAGACTGCAGGGGTGAGCACGCCATCCCCGATGACCATACATGTCCCGAGCAGTGCGAAGAGCAGCAGCAGCCGCTGCAGCACTCTGTACTTCTCCAGCACCGCCCTGACCCTGGACACGGGCCGCTCGCCCCGACGCCCGGTGACCTTCTCTTCCTCCATGAGCTCATCTCTGGTGCCGCCGCCGGGCAGGAGGCCGGCGCGGACGTGGCGGCAGATGAGGGAGTAGAGCGCGAAGGTTCCGCCCTCCCCGCCGTCGTCGGCACGGAGCACGATGAGCACGTACTTGACGAGGGTGATGAGGGTCAGTGTCCAGAAGACGAATGAGAGCACGCCGTAGATCTCCTCGTTGCCCTCCGAGTGCTGGATGTCGTTGCCCGCGAAGGCGCTCTTGTAGACGTAGAGCGGCGACGTGGCCACGTCGCCGTACACCACCCCGAGGCTCTGGTACGCGAGCAGCAGCGTCGCGCGCCATGACTCCCCGCGCCGCTGCAGGAGAAGCAGCAAGCAAGCAGTCAGGAAAATGGAGGAGCAAGCCCCAAGCCCCCAACAGAGGAAACCGCTCCAAATCCAAGGACTCACCTTGCGTTGCGCCGCCTCCGCACCGCCGGCGGCCTCCAGATCCATGTCACTCCCCGGCCCCGCACGCGCGCCTCAATGCGTCACGCCACGCCTGCTGGCTTCATGGCAACGAACCTCGAGGAATCGTCGGAAAGAAACAAGGAATCGGGGGCACCGAATCCAACCGCGGCGGCGCGTCCGAGAACCAAGATTTGTCCGTCGGGCTTGGCCTGTAGCGAGCGGGAGGCCAACCAACCAACCAGGACAAGCGAGGCAAAGCAAGGCACACTCCGCACTCCTCCCCGTCCCCCCTCCTTCTAGTAGCTTCCCGCAAAGAACCACCTCGCGCAAGCAAAGCAAGCTCGCTCGCCCCCACGCCCGCCGCGCCTCTTAACTCGCTATCAAGTATCAACCGCCCGTACGAAGCGAAACCGGGCCGTAACTCTCCTCGCTGAACGCGTACGAGAGCGCCACGACAAGCAAAAGCCAAAGCCCAAAGGGGTGGAGACTGGAGAGGTCTCTGGCGCTGGCGGAGAGGGCAACCAGCCAGCCAGCCAACCACGCGATGCGAGCGAGAGAGAGGAAGATAGGGATGCCGTTTGCCGGGCTCCTCTCCGCTGCCGTGCCGCTCGCCCTACGGTTCTGGATTCCAAACCACCCTGCCCTTTTTTTTTTTTCTGGGTGATGAAGTGGAGTGGAGTCAAGTGAAGCGAAGCACGCAGCTTCCGTTCTTGTAGCCGCGCGCCGCGGGAGGTGGCGCGCCGTCGAGGGGAGTGGAAGCTTGCGTGTGGCTATCGAACGGGACGGGACGCGTGGAGCCGGTTGCTTACTAGCTTGTCGCAACGGGCTTGATACGTCGTTGTACGTTTTGCCGGTTTTAGTGCCTTTTAGGCCCTAATCGAGTGCCTTTTCTTGTTCCACTCCTTTTTGGGTGCACTTTTAAATGGCTGCCAGCAGTGAATTTATACGGGTTAGATAGGAATCCATCATTACCTGTGCGCTTAGCTTATAAGCTGTATTTTTCAGTCAACGAACAGTATTTTGCTCTCATAATAAATTAACCAATAGTACTTTCAGCCATGGCTTATTAGCCAAGCGAACATGGCACATGCTGTCCAGACGAAGCTTCAAAATTATATGCAAACATCTGATGGGAAAACATGAAAGCTAACTTTTTTAAAACGAACGGGACAAGACTGTGTTAGTTTCATTTCGTCGAATAAAGCCCTGTTCGCTTGAAGAAATTTGGAGGAATCTGAATGAATCTGGAGGATTTTGTGAGAGGGTGAACAGTGAATTTCAGCCGCGAACAGTGAATTCCGGCTGGTTTTTCAACGAGCCGAACGACGCCAAAGCATGAATAAATATACAAGTAAGCAGTGAACTATTTACATGAGAAGAAAAAAAACTACCAATAAGAGCAATTCCAACTCTACGAGACTCTATTTCCTTCATAATTTCTAGAAATAGAGATTTCAGTGGAAAACACTCTCCAACGGCTCTCTATTTTCTTCTTTATTGTTAGGAATAGAGATTTCGGTGAAAAAAACATCCTCCAATAGCTTCTTTAATTCTAAATATAGTCATCCTCTATTCTGAATTTCTCGCTAGCTAAAGGTATATAGTAAGAATGACTCTCTAGAGTACGTAGAAGATATATGAAAACTGTTGGAGAATGAGAAGATATAGAAAACGATTTTTGTGCACATGGCTCTATAAAATAATGATTTAGATAGTGGATTTTAGAAAGACTCTCAGAGATGCTAAACATCTCTCATGGCGCACGGGCTAGGTCACTATCTATCTATAAATGAGCTAAAACCGAACCTCGTTTTATACTTTTTTTAATAAATAAAAAGACAGTTATAAAAGGGCCTCGAATATAATACGGCTCCGTTCGGCTGACCTTAAAAGTCGATTTGTTCGGCTTCTTTTTTCAGCTGGAAGAGTGTTTTTCTCTCACAACAATTCAGCTAAAATAGTGTTTTCAGCCAAACGAACGGGACGATAAACAAAACAATAGCATGTATGAAAGATAGACAATTTGATATAAAACAACCTGATAAAAGGGTTAATTGGATCCCTGCTATTAAAATAGATTTGGACGTGTCTGGAATACACTACTATCTCTTTATCTAATAGGGCTGGTACTCTTATAATTTCTCCAAATCTTGAAATATACCATTTTGTACGCCGACACATCTTGAGACAATATACAGGCATACAACCAACTCTGTTTTTTTTCTATGGACGAAATTGCATCTTCGTCCTCCCTCTCTCACACTCACTGACACATGAAGCCCACATCAGCCCTATGGTGTATGTTTAAAGAAACTACGGCGAGTATTTCAAAACGAAACTACGGCGAGTATTTCTAAACGACTAACAAATCACAAAGGTGCCAACGATGTTTGTTATGAAGTATGTTTAACTTGTATTTTTTACTTTCGGTTTCTTTTAGATATCAAACAAATAGAATAATTATCAAGACCCTTAGAGCATCTTTTATAGTTTTTTTACAGAGCTAAACTCAGTTTTTAAAGCACCATATGTCACAGGTACAAACACACGCCAACACTTGTTGGGAACACTTTACATACAACTACACAACCAAAAGAAGAACTAAACAACCACTTCCGAGAAAAGAACAAAGAACCTAGCCATCCATCAACGTAAAAAAAGAACTACGAGCAGGAATATTGTGCAACGGAGAGGAATAAAGTAGCGACGAAATCCGAGATTACGACGGGTCTTCCTTGCACGCCGCCGCTAGTGCCTAGCCCCAGCGCCGCGCCGCGCCGCGCCGCCGCCTGGCTCCAGACCCACATCGCCGCCAGCTCCCTGCCTAGTGCCAGGCCCCTGGGTGGTGGCCCACTAGAAGAGAGGTGACTCTCGGGCCGCAGAGCTAGCGCTGGTGGCCACCCAGGCCCCGGCGGCCACCGCCGAAACCCGCCATCGGCTACTCCGGCCACGGCGCACCTCTCCGCTGATCTCAACGAGTGATGCGTGAAGGTTTGTGACAGTTCCTCGTCACTTCGTCGGAGCTACCGGTGGTTACACACAAGCTGCTCGACGTTTTGCTGAGCTCCAGTAAATCTGGCCTTCTAAAGGCTCCGTCGCTGAAGCTTGCCATGGAGTCTCTACCATGGTGGTGGCAGCAAGTGGCAGTTCTATATTTGGCTCCCCTCCACCACCAGTTACCTCTCCTACGACAACTCTCCCATGGTGTCTCTGATTAAAGCCTCACCCAAGCTTCGATGGAGCTCCTAGGCCTCAGCTTCTGTCCAGGCGTTGGGGTTCAAGCCGCCATCAGGGAAAGGTTTGGGCTTTCAGTCACTTCTTCTGGTGTTTCTTCTTTCGTCTTCTTTTTAGTTGCTTCTTTTGGTCGCTGCAAGTTTTGTCTCTGTTCTCTCTCGGTGGGTCTTCTTCTTTAGGCCACCATTGGAGGTGTTGCTCGGGATTTTAGCGTCCTTCAGCTAGGTCCCCATGTTTTCCACTTCTCTGTTTCTTCCAAGGTTGTGGGTTTTCACATTTTCAAGTTGGTCAGCTTCGAGTGTTCTTGCTACAAGGTGTTCTTCCACCTTTGGGGTAACGGTGGCCCTCGCTGGGACCTTGAGCTTGCAGCTTTCAACAGAGAAGAAGCTGATTCCTGGGTACCAGTGAAAGGTTTCGTTCAAAGGTTGAATCACAAGAGCTTTGTTGATGCAGTGAAATCCGGTATTCTAACGGGGGCAAACAGTCTTCCTATCGGGCAATCAGTCTTTAAGCGTATTGTTTTCCCAAATAATGCCTAGGGCTCTTGTGTAGTTCGTCCTGAATGACATCTCCATGGCCAACCTCAAAGCTCAAGCAGAAGGGCCTCGGTCAACAGTAGGGAAGCAGTCAACAGTGAGCAAGGGAAAACAACTGACCGTCATCTAGTGGATTTGAATTTGAATTTAGGTCTCGGGAGTCAACCTCTCTCTACTCTAAATCTATCAGAGACAAAGAGTCCCAGGATTTGCTCGCGGTGTTTCTCAGATAGACATGCAAGGAGAGACTGCAAGTCTAAGATCAGATGCCACAATTGCCTGCGTGGGGGACACGTTGCAATTAATTGCCTTGGGCAGTGGCGCCTAGATAGAGGTGTGGAGGGAATTAATCAGCAGGCCAAACAGGGCATTAAAGGGAAAGCTCCTCTTTAAGCAGCCCAAATGGTTCTCCAAGGCAGCAAGCATGTCTCTTGGGCCTAGCGTGAGCAATCCACCAGCTTTTAATTCTTTTACAGATTGGTGTTGTGTTGAATTGGCGCTTCAAACGGTGCCTGAGCTACTAGAGCCCAGGGTCATACCGTGGAATTTACCTCCCAAGCTTATGACTGATGGATCGAGCACGGCAGGGACCCGCAGAGTAAAGAGTGCAACCTGGGTCAATGAAGTTTTAACATTGAGTGCTCCTACAACTTTCACTCCGCATGCTCCACCTCACCGTATAGATGCTTGCCGCGACATTGATGAAAACCCACTCGGCCTCGACTCATTATAGAGAAATTTGCTACCTCCGTCACCGATCATGGCTTTTCAGTGTGCAGACCCGATGCCCTTCTTGCCTTCTGGGATGCAGTGGGAAGTAGTACCGAACAGGATATTCATGGTGCGCGTTGTGGCTCTTTCTCGTCCTCAACCACGCAATGAGAATGTGGCCATTGCAACTATTTCGCCTATACCGGGTATTGCACTAAACTTTGCGGTGATCAAGGAGATGCCAAATTTTTTATTTTTAGCCCTTTTTTGAAAAAATTTCACAAATATGCCCCTGGAGGTAAGATTTCAAAATCTGGACCCTTAACTCGACGCCATCGTTGCTGGCGCCGAGCTTACACGTCTTAAATTTGGCGCTGAGCTCTTGCGCTCGAAGCAGACATGGCGGTGACATGACAGGCAACTCGACGCTAGTAACCCTAGCGCTGAGCTCGGCGCCATAGATCGTGGCGCCGAGCTCGGCGCCAGGGTTACTGGCGCCGAACCTGTCTTACTATGGGCCCCAATCCTTTCTCTCTTCCTATCCCTCCCCCGAGCAGCGCACCG